GGCGGGGGTGAACCGGGGGAGCTTTTTCCTTCCAGAGCAGCGAGTCCTGCTCCACTCCCAGGAATAAAGCCAGTTCCTGGGTGAGTTTGCCACGCTTTGGCTTGTTCTGCTGGTCGCAATGACAAAAAACAAACCCAAACCCTCTTTCATGAGTCCGCAGAAGTGGAATAAACTTATTTTTAAAGGACTCCAGAAAAGGCCCTGGCTCCTCACTCTCGTGTTTGCTGTGAGGAATCCTCAGGAACGTGGAAGGGAGCTTGCACATGTGAGGGGGTTTCGGTTTAAATGAGAAGTGGTTTATTTTTACGAGTAAGTAGTTGGGAAGCTGCGCTGGGAATTCCACCATCAAAGCCCTGCCTCAGCAACAAAGGCCGGGTTATTTTGATTTACCAAAGGGTTACAGCCTTTGAAGCTATAAATATAACACGAGCAGTGGCTTCCTCTCCTGTAACGCATACCCTGTGTGTGGGGGGGACGAGGAGCCGTGGTCCTCCAGGCTTTTAGCCCTGGCCGTGTGTGGGTTTCCATTAAACGGGGTCCAGGGAAATGCTCCACAGCAGCAAACGCAAACATCCGAAATAAGAACGGCTTTGCTTTTAGACGCTCAGCTTCCCGAGCTTTGGGAAATGCCGTGAACAGAGCCCACCCTTGTTCGAAGGCCACGGCGTGGGCTTGGGAGCCCGAGCGTGGGCATCTGACGTGCGCAGCCTGGCTCCGAGCCCTGAGCTCGCCAGTATTTAAATCAGCAGAGTCCGGCAAAATTGCTTATCTGTGCTAAGGACCTTCACGGAATTGGGGCCATTGGTGTAAATAAGTCTGAGACCCAGTGAAGAAATCACATTTTCAACCTAAATAGGTGTATTCAGAATACCTTAACAAGAGGTTAGGGTTATACTGTGCTGCCTTGGCATTTCAGCTCCTCTTTTGCATCCCAATTTTTCTTCCTGTTGCTGAGCTGTAGTTTGGGTCACTTTGCAGTCACAGGGACAGGAGCCAGGTACCTTTATTTGGAGGGGAGCTGGGTACCCCTACCCAGAGCTGCTTGGCTTAGGGGCAGCGTTTGCAGGAAGCCTATTGCAGCATCACAGCAAAAATTATACGGAAGCTGCATTCAATTTTCTGATGCAGAGCCCACAGCTTTTGTGTGGGAGTAGAAAGAATGGTTTTATTTAATGACCTGCTGAGTTTTCCATTTGTTTTATTGAACAAGAATTGGGGTGAGGGAGAAGCTCTGCTCAGCAAAAAACCCCGGGCCTGTGCAGCGCGGGCAGAAACTTGTGTCTGTTCTGAGTTAAAACACTGTGAAACCCTGCAAAGCGCTGTGCCCAGGGGATGGCATTGGGCCTGCAGGGGTCTGTGGTTGTTGGCCAGGCTGCTCCGTGGGGTTGTGATTCAACCCCAGCGCTTGAATCTGCTGGGGAGCTGCGTGGGTCGGAGCAGGAGGAGGTGAAACCTCAGCCCTGCGGGTTGAGCTGTGCCCTCGCTGTGTCCCCTCACTGGTTAAACTGGTGGAATGGGTTGTTTTGGTGGGAGTTTGGTGCCCACCAGGCCTTCATTTCGTGTTGGTTCAAACCAGATTGGATCCATTTCCCCCTGAACTAAAAATATGGACGCCTTTGTCGGGGTTTACGCTAATCAAAACCACGGCCCAGCCAAGGCGCCCGTTGTGCCGCCGAGCTCTGGTGGGGAGGAGCGGGAGGGGAAGGGGCTGGCTGGGACCAGGGGGACCCGGCTTTTCGCATCCCCCTGCTGCTCCAGGGCTTGTCCTGCCAGGACCTTCCCAGTGGGAGTTTGGTGCCCACCAGGCCTTCATTTTGTGTTGGTTCAAACCAGATTGGATCCATTCCCCCTGAACTAAAAATACGGATGCCTTTGTCGGGGTTTGCGCTAATCAAAACCACGGCCCAGCCAAGGCGCCCGTTGTGCCGCCGAGCTCTGGTGGGGAGGAGCGGGAGGGGAAGGGGCTGGCTGGGACCAGGGGGAGCACGCTTTT